GGCTTCAAAGCTCCCAGAGAACCAAATTCCCTTTCCTGACCCCCAGCAAACACATTTTCCCCTCCCAAGTGCTCCATCTTTGCAGAAAAGCTAACTGGAATTTGAGTAACCTGCTCATACCAAATTACCCTTCAGCCAAATAGAGAACACATGAGTTAGGGATTGCTCTGCCTTTCCCTCTAAGTAAAGGAGAGCCCGGGGAAACAGCAAGAATGCAGCATAGGGGAGAATCCTGGCCCTGAGCCCCTTAGGGTGACTGTAGACAAGCCTCAGGTCCACATGTGTGTAAAGGCATGCAGCGCCCAGGACCTTGTTTATTATTTAAAAGAAGGTATCTGGAGGTGCCATGTGAAGGGAAGGTTTTGTTTAGAACCAAATGGTTTTTCTATATATTCCAGTCAGTGTGTGTGGCGGTTGGTATTCTGGGGTATGTTTGAAGGTGCTGCTAGAGGGGTGTAACTGAGGAGAGAAGACCTGCCCTGAGCGTGGGTGGTGCCTTCCTGTGGGCTGCTGTTCCAGAGTGAATACAAAGGTGAAAGTGATTGGAACATCAGCGTCTGCATTTCTCTGCTGCCTGGTCTTGCAGAGATGGAGAACACCACCTGCCTGCTCCCACCACAAGGACACTGTCCCCTGCAGTGAGGGACAGTACCCTCACACTGTGAGCCCACATAAAATCTCCCTTAATCTGCATTTGTCAGGTATTTGGTCTCAGCAGGGAGAAAACACAAATCGATTAAGAAAATAAGCCAGTGTTGGCAAGGGCACTCCATTCATTGTGAACACCTTCTGTTTTAACTGTGTTAAAGCTGTGATGAAGGAAAGTTGAAAGGACAATTTAGGTCTTTTTGGCGGGTGGGGGTGGGTGCAAAAAATACAAATTTGTTATTTTTGTCCTTGCTGTGGCTAGATACCTAATAAGAAGATATTTAGGGGATAAATTGGATCACAGTTTAAGAACAATAGAGTGCATGAGGATAGGGGAGGCATGGTGGCACAGGTGTGTTCCCAGCCAAGAAGCAGCGCGTAGGAAGGCAATAGGGCTGGGCTATACAACCTTAAGGCCTCCCACTAGTGGCCCACTTCCTCTAGCAAAGTTCCACCTCCTAAGGGTTTCAGAATGTTCCAGACCAGCACCATTCCCTGCAGACCAAGTGTACAAATACACGTGTCTGTGAGAGACAGTTCACATTCAAGCCAGAATGGTGAGGAAGGAGAAGCAGGGAGGGTTTCATGTAAATGTATGTTGTCTTCCACGGAAGGTTTGGGGTCTGCCCCACCACAGCAGTTCCATTCTGCTTGGCCTGAGTTCTCAGAATCCTGCAGCCGGTAAAGACAGAGGCTCATTCCCACCAAACTATTGAAGGTTTATTCTGAAAATGTCCTTTTGCCATTCACAGTTGACTAACACACCTGAGCACACCCGGTTCCCCCATTGCTCTTCTTCTGGGATGCCATCAGTGATCATCTGTGAACTAGGCAATGGATATGTCTTGACTTCACTCCATCCTCCCATCATCCATTCACCACCTTCCTCCCTTGACAGCAGCCAGATCGGTTCCCTCCAGGTCCCCTAAACTATACACCTTCCTGCTGAGGAGCCTGGCTCCTTCTTTTGCTTCCTTCCTGAAGCTTCAGCCTCCCCACCCTCTCCCTGCTTTCTGAGACCTTAGGTCTTGGCTCACACATCTTGCTTCTGCACAGTTTCCACACACAGCTTTCATTGCTGAAGAGCTTCTCTCCAGCCTGTCTGTCATACGGCATCCTGATCGCAGCCCAGTCCTAGAGACTGGCCACTGGTTTCTGACTGCCAGAGCCTGCCCTTAGCTGCATCCTGCTGCCTCTTTAGGGAAGTGAGAAAGGCAGAACAAAGTACCCATCATAAGCTAGTCTAAGGGCTCTTAGGAGATCTGTGCTCAAAGATGGCGTGCTCAACCTGGAGTCATGTGACTCTAGCTTTCAAGACACGGGTGGGGGGTGGGTCATAGGTTTGCCTAGGGTCAGAGGTGGTTTGCTCACCTGAAAGATCTAGTACTCAACCTTTGAGTCCTTTGTGGCAGTTATAGAGCTAATCCTACACCAGTCTCTTCTTCATAAACCACAGTTTCTCAGTGGACATTGTACCTGCTGCGTGCACCCAGGAAGCTACATCTTGGAATCCTGTGCATCATTTTGCTGCCATGATAAAATATGCCAGTTCTCTAAAACGTGACTATACACATCCCACTGGCAATGCATAAGATGCCATTACATGGCACAAAGCAGGGTACAATGCAGAATTTAATAAAACAGTGATGGACTTAAAGGGGAAAAAAGGCCCATTTAGGGGCCAGAGGGGATGGCTCAGTGGGCACAGGCTTGAAGGGGACAGTGGTGATGACCTGAATTCGATCTTTGGGACCCACATAAAGGTGGAAGGAGAAAACCAATCCCCCAGAGTATTAATCTGATCCACACACACTTGCATCCCACAATAATGATAATGACGGTAAGACACGGTTCCGTTAGCTTCCTCTAAAGCAGTGGCTCTCAACATGTGGGTCATGGCCCCTGCGGGAGGTGGTTGCATATCAGATATTTATATTATGCTTCATAACAGCAGCAAAATTACAGTTATGAAATAGCAACAAAGAATTTTATAGCGGGAGGGGTCGCCAAACACGAGGAACTATTAAAAGGCTGAAGTATTAAGAAGGTTGAGAACCACTGCTCAGTCAAAAAGGAGTGGTTCCAATGGACAGCTCTGCTAAAGAGAGCAAGAGGGGAGCATGGGCAGCAGACTCCCTGATCGTCCTTTTGCAAGGACATGGTAAAGTCAGTGCAGGTTGAGTATCTTTTATCCAAAGTGCTTGGGACGGAAGTGTTCCGGATTGAGGCTTTAAAATTTGGGAGTGTTTGCATAGTCTTTATTGGCTGAGTATCCTTAATCTGAAAATATGATCTCTGAGATAATTTAAAATCAGACATGTGTGAGTATCTTGCCGGTACTCAGAAAGTTTTGGGGGAGCTGGGGAGATAGCTCGGTGGGTAAGAGAACTTATTGTTATTTTTTTCTTCCATTTTTCTATTTAAGTTAGAAACAAGATTATTTTTACATGTCAAACCCAGTTCCCTCTCCCTCCCCTCCTCCCCTGTCCCTCCCCACCCCCAATAACACCCTACCTATCCCATACCATTTCTGCTCTTCAGGGAGAGTGAGGTCTTCCATGAGGCGGCTTCAGAGTCTGTCATCTCCTTTGGGATAGGGCCTAGGCCCTACCCGGTGTGTCTTGGCTCAAGAAGTATCCCTCTATGTGAAATGGGCTCCCAAAGTCCATTCCTATGCTAGGGATAAATACTGATCTACTGCAAGAGGCCCCATAGATTTCTGAGGCCTCCTCACTGACACCCACGTTCATGGAGTCTGGGTCAGTTCCACGCTGGTTTCCCAGTGATCAGTCTGGGGGCCAAGAGCAGGAGAGCTTATTGTATAAGCATGAGGACCTAAGTTCACATCCCCTAGACCATGCACCTGTAACTCCACCTCTTGGGAGAGTGGAGACATGTACTGGGGTTTATTGAGTGCCAGAAAATGGAGATTTCCAGGGACAGTGTGTAGCTGGAAGTTTCTCTCCTTCCCATCAGTTCCAGAATAACCACTCTGTGGCTTAATATTAATTATAGTTGTTTGGCCAATGGCTCAGGCATATTACTAACTAGCTCTCACAATTAAATTAACCCATTTCTAGTAATCTGTATTTTGCCACATGACTGTAGCTCACCAGTAATGCTCTGGCATCTTACTCCTCTGGCAGCTACATAGTGTCTGACTCTACCTTCTTTCTCTCTGTATCTCTGTTTGTATTTCCTGCCTAGCTATATTCTGCCTGGCTAATGGCCAAATCAGCGTCTTTATTAACCAATGGTAATAAAACATAGTCGAAGCATACAGAGGGGCATCCCACATCACAGTGAAAGACTCTGTCTCAAGAGAATGAGGTAAAGGGCAATAGACAAGACATCCTTCCTCTGCCCTCGTGCATACGCAGCAAAAAAGAAAACTGAACTTAGGATTTCAGAACATGTCAGATTTGAGTTTTCAGATAAAGGATGCCCAACCTGTAGTGCTACCCTTATCCTCACTCAATAGCTGAGGCTAGATAAGCAACACGTTCTTCTAATGTCCAAGTCAACAACAAAGTATGATTTGTATCTGAATCGGAAGTCTGGAGAGTTAGCCTTTAACACGTAGTCTCTTCCCACAGTTCTCCAAGTTCTCTCAGCTCCATTATCTCCTGGACATAGTATTTCTTATTTTCCCCTGGGAATCTATTAGAAATGTAAATTATCCAAATCCTGCTGAACCAGAAACTCCTGGTGCAGGGCCAAACAACTTGGACTGTCACAGTCCTTATAGTGACATAAACTAAACCTTGAGTACCTTTGCTTTACACTAGCTCCCTGACCCTCCTGAAGAAGATCCCCTTGTAATGCAACCTAGAACCGATAGGAGCACCCCAAGAGGCTGGCTGTGGATAGATCTCTGACCATGCCACCATTCCAATTGGAGCTTGAAGTAGGCCTGATGTCTTTAGGGCTGTAGAAACAGAAAGTAGTGAAGGGACCAGCTCCCCATTTCGGCAACCATAACAGCCGAACACATGCTTGTCTGACCTTGCCTTAGTCACTAGGAGGGCAGATGCCTGCCTTGTTTGTTTTTAGGTGTGCTTTTTTTTTTTTTAAGTGGCCCAAAGTATTTTACAGGTACTGCAAACTCCTCCATTTCTCTTTATTTTGCCTATTAAGAAGTTGCAAATTGGATCTGTGGCCCAGTTCTCATTAAGACAAAAACGGAAAGCTGCAATGTGGCATTTACTATTGCTCAAAAAAACCCATTGGCTCTTCCTGCTTATATTTGGCCTCCATTTCCACACTTCATCAGATCTTTCCTTTTTATACATTATGATAGGGCTGTAACACAAAACAAATCACTGAGTAAGTCTGGAGGGTTGCCATGGGCAATGAGAAGTGTCATCAGGTAAAAACCTGTGTGTCATTAGCGGGCAGCGGGCTATAGGCGCCGTCCTGGCCTCCTTTACTGAGAGAACAGATTTAAGCAGACAACCTCATCACATCATGAAGGGACCAGCCCCCCATTTCAGCAGCCAAGACAGTAACACGTGCTTGCCATGACCTTGCCTTGGTCACTAAGAGGTCAGATGCCTGCCTCGTGGCAAGAAACCAATCAGAAGTTAGCTGGTGGTACTATGCTTTATGGCTCTGGCTGTGCTTTAAGGACAAGTGCACAGCAATGATGCTCAGAGCATAGCAACCACCCTGGGAGGGCCTATGGGCCATAACAACCAGTTGACCAATCAACAAAGGGCAAGCACTCCAAGCCTGGAGGCACACCAATCCTGAGCCTGTGCATACCCCTAGACACTCCCCTTATGCTGCCCTATAAGATCTCTATGTAGACGCTTCGAGCTATTTTTCTAGCCATCTGCCATGGCAGATGGATGAAAGACCTGAGCTAACATGGGGTTAGCTCCTTAAACAACTATAATAAAGCCTCGTGCAGTTTGCATCAAGCTTTTGACTCCACCTGGTGATTGGGGTGACTGAGGCCCTGGGCTGAGATCCTGGAGGCCTGAGTTTCTGGGGGTCTTACAGTAGAAAGACTCCTAATTCTCTCAAGGCTTTCTTGATATGATCTGGGTTTATTTTTGTTTTCTTTGTTGTTGTTGTTGTTGTTTGCTTGTTTGTTGTGACCCTTGCTATTTCATTTGATGTTGCCTGTCTGTACAGATCATTGTTTATCCAACCACCATCTGTGTGATGGGCATAGTAGCCGGGGTTTGTATTTGTAGAGTGACAGACAAACCAGGACGTTTTCTCAGAGCCTCCATATCTAACAAACAGGAAGGTGCTCTCTGCCCATAGGGCAGGGTGCTTTGAGGAAGGTCTGGGGAGGCCCTTTTCTCAGCCTTGCTGCCGGTAGGACTTTCTAAGGAGCTGAAAAATGGACAGTAGGCAACCCAAGGATAACAGTGGAGTGGGAACAGGAGATACAGAGAGCAATCCAGCCTGAGACTACCTCAGTGTGAAGATCTGGAGGAGGGAGTGATCCCAGCCCTGAGGAATTAGGTTCAGAGTGGCTGAGGCCTGTGTGAATTGGGACATGAAGTGATAAGGCAGCTGGGAACGGAAAAGGCAGGTTGACCAACTCACCTTTTGGGTCAGAGAATGGAGTTTGAATTTTAGGGAAATGAGAAATCACTTTTTTCTCTCTTCCCTCCCTCCCTCCCTCCCTCCCTCCCTTCCTCCCTCCCTTCCTCCCTCTCTTCTTCCTTCTTTTTCTAAGATGGAATCTCAATATGTAGACCAGGCTGACCTCAAACTCACAAAGATCCACCTGCCTCTGCTGGGATAAAAAGATTGTGCTACCTAGGCCTGGCTATAAATGGGAAACCACTTTTAGAAGAGAAGGAACAGGGGAAAACTGGTTTTTAGCAGGATCACTCCCACTATAACTGTGGCCTTGTTTAAATACAGCTCTTTTATTGTTGTGGGTGTGTGGTTGTTATTGTTGGATTGGTGTTGGGAATGTTAACAGACTGAATTCTGAGAGTTTTTCCTCACTCCTTTCCCCAGTCCTTCCCGGGGTGGGAGGTGTGGGTGGGGGGTGTGGGCTCAGCAGGTGCCTGTGTTTTTGAGTTCCCAGGCAGAGGTGAGCAGAGAGGCAGGGCCTCTGCTGCTTCTGTTCACTTGCATGGCTTTTATTCCTCTGGAACAGAAGTTGGTCACCTTTACATTGTCTCCTGCTCTTGCCTCCAGGGTGTCTGTCCTTGCTGGTCACAGTTCAGCACACAGAACGCTATGTCACCCTGTTTGCCTCCATCACCCTCAAATGCGACTACACCACCTCTGCTCAGCTCCAGGACGTGGTAGTGACATGGCGCTTCAAGTCCTTCTGCAAGGACCCCATCTTTGACTACTTTTCTGCCTGTGAGTACCCTGATTCTTGTTCTGTCCATGGCTCCCAAGCAGCTATCACCAGGGTCTAGGAGTTGTTACAGATCACAAATTGTCATTATGAGAAGAACCTGAAATGACACTGTCCCTTCAGTTTTTCAGATAAACTGAACCCAAGTTACACAAGAAGTTGTTCAAGGGCAAATAAATGTTAGTTTGTTTGCACCGTGTTGTTCTAAAAATACTTTAGACAGCTCAGACATAAAAGACCTTCCTCCTGGGCACTCCTCGTTCAAACCAGCCCTGAGCCATGTGGGACCTCAAGTCAGTGGCCATTGTTTGGGAGATCCCTGCCGGCTGCCTCACTTTGAATAATAGAGCTCTCTGCCTCCAGATAGTCTCTTTGCCCTTGAGCATCTCGAATCGTTGCCAAGTGCTGCTCCTCCACTTTATCCAAGTTCTCTTGTCACCTCTTCTGTTAGGAGCTCCCTCCCAGATGCCCATTGCTAACCTTTCCCCAGCACCGGAGGTAGCTGGAGTCTTACAGTCAGCCTGAGGTGATTAGACCCAGAGAAAGTTTGAGAGTACACTGAGGTACCCTATTTGGGGGAAGGAAGTGAAGAAGGAAGGCTTGTGCATCCTGTAGCTCTAGGGCCTATGCTTTACAGTAGGACTGGGCAGGGCCTCAAAATCTCACCGAGTCTCCCCATTTTATCTGCATTGTTTCCTTGTGGGTTATTCTTAAAACACCTGGGATAAGGGAGAAGGGAAGAGACTAGGGTGGGAAGCAGTGGTCGCCTAGAAGAGTAGCAGCTTTTAAGTTCTCTACTTGAAGATTGGGTGAGTGTACCCCCATTGGAGTGGAAACTGGGGGTGGGGACACTTTGTAAATGACACAAAGGAAGTTGGGAAGAGAAACGGAAATGCAGACAGGCTTTGGAAGTGGTGGCCTTCAAGGGGTTTGGAGTCTTATTGAGTGGGTTTCCTGGCATCAGCTGGGACTGTTAGCCTACTCCAGACCTGCAGAATCTGAATGCTTTGAGTGACTTGGTCCTGCCTTCTCAGCGTACCAGGCTGCTTTATCCCTGGGCCAGGACCCTTCCAATGACTGTAGCGACAATCAGAGGGAAGTTCGCATCGTGGCCCAGAGACGGGGGCAGAGTGAACCGGTGCTGGGGGTGGATTACCGGCAGCGCAAGATCACCATCCAGAACCGTGAGTGTGGGGGAGGTGGCAGGGGAACTCGGGCTTGAAAAGGAGGCAGACATAGTCCTGAGTCAGCATGGGATTCCCCAAGACCTCTGGGGCCCGATGACTGACTTGGTCACTGGGTTGTTTGAAGCAAGTGCCAGATTCTTAGAATGTGTTCCACCATCTGAAGCCACTTCCCTGGAACTTGGTCTGTGGATGAGAGGATGGTCCTCAGTCTTGGCTAAAGGTCAGGAGTCACTTTTGCTTCCTGAGACTATCTGGAGGCTGAGATGTTACCTGGCTCCTTTGATGCTTTTTACAAAACCCCCCCCCACCCCCCCCACACACCAGGTCCCTGAGGTCCCCTGGGCCACTCTTGGTGTCTATACCAAAGGAAACAGGAGCTTGAGGAAGCAGCAGGGGCTTGGACACAAGCCTGGGTCACAGTGGTTCTCACAAGCTTGGGTACCAGCAATGGGTTGGCCGTTTTCTCTGCCTTGTCCCTCTCACCTGAGAGAGAGAAAGCCACATGGCATCTGTCCCCCACACTGCAGTAAGGTCAAATGCATGGTTTGGGATCTGGGTCCTGGTACAAGAAGCAGCCCCCATGGCCCTGGGCCCATAGCAGACTTAGGCATAGTGACTGTTCTGCACTTGAACATGAAATTGAGCAAGCCCCTTCAGGTTTTTGTTTGTTTTGCCTCAGTTTCTATTAAGTGGGACTGGCTGTAGAGCCCATCTAACAGAGGATTGTGACACAGTGTTTGAAAATCACTACCCACCAGTTAATATGGAATGAACGTAAGTCATCTAGTTGGGATGTTTTTATATACAAAGGTTTGGCTAGTGCCCCATATTCTTAGCCTGTCATCCTGGATTACTGTGAAGTTATGGGGACAGAACTCAAGGACTATTGCAGTGAGCCTTATATGCTGTGTTAAAAAAAATTATTCATGGGGATGGAGAAGGGACTCAGCAGTTAAGAATACTAGCTATTCTTCCAGAGGACCCAGGTTCGATTCCAAGCACTTACATGTTGGCTCACAACAGTCTGTAACTCTACTTCCAGGGTATCTGACACCCCCTTCTGGCTTACTGGGCACCAGGCATGCAAGTGGTACACAGACATATATAGTAAAACACACCTATATACATAAAAACATATAAATATACACACAAATAAATAAATAAACAAAAATTTAAAAGAAAAAAGCATTTATGGGTCTGGAGAGCTCAGTGGTTAACAGAACTTGTTGCTCTTCCAGAGAACCCAATTTTGGTTCCCAGTATTTGCTTCAGGCAGCTCACTCACAACCGCCTATAACTCCAGTTCCATGGGTTCAATGCTCTCTTCTGGCCTCTGCAGCACTGCACTGACATGCACACAACCATGCACTCCCATGAGCACACACACACACACACACACACACACACACACACACAAATAATAAAAGTATATCTTTAAAAAAATGCTGGCTATGAGGAAGAAAACACATAGCAGGCTACTTGTGGTACTCAAACATTGCAGAGAATTAGTGAATATTTTATGATCACTTAAAGGGCCAATTTAACCATTGCTTCTGATTTTGTAATACTTAAATATGATCTTTTCACACTCGTCCTCTGATTTCCCCAAGGCAAGCCCTTGATTCTTAGCCTTGGGGACCATCTGTTTTTGCCTTACTTAGTCTCCATGTGCATCCTTAGAGGCTTAAATGGCTCTACTTCCTCAGAGTTGGCTCTGATCTGAACCCTGGGCTCACATCTTTAATTAGCCTGTCTCCTTTAGAGTTTCCCCCTGGAGAATCTGGAGGCTGTCTCTGCTCTTCTGTGTGTCTAGTTCTGAGTATCTCCTTTCACTACCTCACCTCCTGACCACTTTCCGGTCATACCCCATCTTGTTCTCACTCCTAAGGGAAAGCAGCATTCCCCCTAGGGTTTTATTTCTTCTTCCAGGCTCATCCTGGCTTCTCATGTCTGAGTTTCTATCATTTGAGAGGGCCCCGCCAAAGAAGGTCATGTGTCATCTAAAATATTAACATATCTGAATAGCCTCACCGTGCTGACATTCCTCAGAAACTCTGTATGACTCCAAGGAAAGTTGGGTCAGTTTTCATTGCTCACTTTCATCATTCCTCCAGCTCTGGGGGTGGGGGAAAAGTGGTAGGCTTTGAAAACCATGAGGGAAAAAAGCTTTGCAAGGATTGACGTAAAAGAGAAGGAAACAGAAGTCAAGGTTTGCTCCAGTCTTGCATGACCTCACGTTTTTGTTTCAGTTCCTCCGGAGATATTTCTTGACAAAGAGACAATAAAGAATTGCAGATATGACCACCCACTGTGCAACAGCAAGTCAGTAACGCTGAGGCCTGATCTCTCTAGTTTCTGAGATAAGCCATGACTTTGGGGTGCTGCTCTGGAACTCCAACTGGCTTTTAAACCTGCCAGGATAGAGAGAGGCTGGCTCCTCTTGAATTGTCCTACAGGTTGTAACTTACTAACTTGAGCCATTGGGTTTTAGTGAACAGTGGTCAAGTTTGCTTACCTTGAAAGTACATGTTAACCATCGGTTGCTCTTAATAGGGTTGCAGAGCATCAGGTACTTATAGAGCATAGATTCTTTTGGGGGGTAATACTCTGAAAATGCCCTGCTATTTTCTCCAAAATGACCAGAAATGACCCGGAAATGCTGGGCATGCTTTGATCTTATGTATAAGATCAGAAACATACAGTCCAGTACCAGGGTGGTGGCTACATTCCATTAAGTCCTTAGGAGCCCTAAGTTCACTTTGACATACCCAGATTGCCATCTTTTTTCTAGATGTATCAGTCTACTTTTTTGTTTCTAAAATGAAAGGTCTGTGGCTGTGTAATTTACAAAAAAAAAAAAAAAAAAAAAAAAAAAGAGGTCTATTTAGCTCATCACTCTGATGCTGAAAGCCCAAGAGTAGATGGTGCCATTGGTTTGGCCTCATGGAGGCTCGTGGCTGTGTCACCATGGAAACAGTATTATTGTAGAAGTGCATACAAGAAGCGGAGCTCACAGGGGGATACAGGAGACCAAAGAGCAGAAATGACCATTCTTGTTCTTCTGTAACAACCCCTTCTGTTGTGAACCAACTGGGGAGACAGAAGAATGACTTTAATCTCCTCTCAGGACAGCTCATTCAAGTGACCTAATTACTGTTCTGATCTCCATCTCCTAGTGATTCCACTGCCTTCCAACAAGGCCACACTGAGACACATCGGGACATACTCAAATCTCATCCAATCCATAGCAACCAGAGAACAAAGCAGAAGAGACAAAGAAGAAAGGGAAGACTGTTCACATGCAATCTTTTTTTTTTTTTCTGAGACAGGGTTTACATGCAATCTTAAAGAAAGTTCCTGCAACACTCTTGCATATGTTCTGTCAATCAGAACTGAGTTACTTAGAAGAGAGGATGGAAAACACTGACTTTATTCTAGGTGGTCCCTAACTTAGTCTATTTTATTCTGCTATTATTATGCTCTGTTCTATCTTATTCCATTGTATTATGCTCTTAGTCTATTTTATAATAAAGTACCTAAAACAAGGTAATTATTATCAGTGGAAATGCATTGGCTTATGTTTATAGAGGACAAGAAGTCAGGAGAGGGTCTTATTGGTACACCATCACACAGCAATAGAAGAGAGGGCAAGAGGGGACTAAACTTATCCATTTGTTTGTTTGTTTGTTTTTGTTTTATTGAGACAGGGTTTCACTATGTAGCTCTGGCTGTTCTGGAACTTGCTGTGCAGACCTGTAGACCAGACTGGCTCCAACCTACCTACCCATATGGATAGAGCACTCAAGGGTCATTCTGCTTTTAATAAAAAACAAAACTATCTGTCTCTCCCCCCCTCTCCCTCCCCCATCTGTCTCTCTCAGAAAGTGATTAATCTTCCAGCACACAGTCCATCAAGGTTCTAATCTCTCAATACTAATATAAACACAATTTTATTTCGGCATGACAAACATACTTAAACTATAGCAGTCGCATGTATACCCAACTGTGATCCCGAGAGAAGAGAACAGCATCAGTGGGAGACAACAAGGAATCTCCCTCACCTACATATAGGGATACATCGTGGGAATTAAATGAGAAGATGTATCCAGATCCTTATAAACTACTATTAGGGTTCAGTGGGGAGTTCTTCCATCATCCCCATCTTTGGGAACAAAGGAATGTCTGAGGAAGGATCTGGGGCCTCATTCTTATTAACCACAGGGCTTCTTAGGAATGACAATTCTGAGGTCCTGAAGCTACCACGCCCAGATAACTGGCACTTTTCCCTTCCTTCCTACACAGGAGCGGATCTCGTGATCAATGAAGTGATGTGGTGGGATCATGGGGTATACTACTGCACCATTGAGGCTCCAGGAGACACATCAGGAGACCCAGATAAGGAGGTGAAGCTCATTGTCCTGCGTAAGTGCTGCTGTCGCCCTTATGGGCCATCAATCAGTGTACATTTATTTTCCATGTAAAAACATCCACCAATAGCAGCAAAGCCAGAAACAAACAGGTCTGTGTCACTGTCGTTGGACTGGGAGCCTCTACGGGTCTCATACTAGCGCTAATACTAAACTTTTTTTTAAACGGGTATATCGCTCGAACTTAACCTCTAGGTCAATACCTATATTGGCTAAGGTCTAGAATATTGATTCTCAACCTGCTGGTCATGACCCCTCTGGGGTTGAAAGGCCCTTTCACAGGGGTTGTCTAAGAGTATCCGAAAACACAGATTAGTATTCATAGCTGTAGCAAAATTACAGTTATGAAGTAGCAGCCAAAATATTTTATGGCCTGGGGGTCACTGGTCTAGAATGTTGGGGTAGAGGCACCCCTCTGAAGATTTAGTCCACCCCCTTTGTCTTCTCTCCACTGTAGATTGGCTGACAGTGATCTTCATTATCCTTGGAGCCCTCCTTCTCCTGCTGCTGATTGGTGTGTGCTGGTGCCAGTGCTGTCCACAGTATTGTTGCTGCTACATCCGCTGCCCCTGCTGTCCTACCCGCTGTTGCTGCCCTGAGGAAGGTGAGAGAAGAGGAGTGGCAGTGGGTTGAGCATGATGGCACACGTGCCGGATGCCCCAGGCAGATTGGTTTACCTTGCTCAGGTCTCTCTCCTGGTCGCTCTGGGATCTCCTTGGTGCCTTCTTCCTTCGCAGGTTCAGAAGACACGAGCTTCAGCCCTGAGACTGATACTCAGAATGGTCTAAAGTCACAGGGAAGGAGGTTGATTAGCAGGATTTGCACCTATGAAATTCTTTTCTTAGTATGCAGATGGAGTCGGGTTGACTGTTTAAAATGGAAGTTTTTGTTTTTTTGTTTTTTTTCCCTGTGTATTTGAGCAAATCAACTTTTCTCTCCCAGGTCAGAAGTGAAATGGAAAGTTCTAGCACTCTATCCATGCCTTGGTCTTTTTGGCAACCTGTCCCAATCCTAAAGCTCCCCAGGGACTCTGGTCACCAGTCATCTAATTAGTACATGGAAGATACTCATTATTTTGGAGAGCCCAAGCATTTTAGGTGTTGTATTCCAGAAACCAGGGTCAGAGACCAAATATGTTTCCTATTCTTATTACAATTTCACAACACTACTTAGAGACAAGATGAAAACAATAGGGAGGACAATAGAGAAAAGTATGGAAAGCATTAGTTCTTAAACTGAAGCTCATACTGAATCATGTAGAGGTTTTGGTTAAAATTAATTGTTGCATCCCCTTCTGCTGCTGGCCCAATGGGTGTGGGGGAATAGGGCCCTAGAATGTATTTCTCAGGCATTCTCAGGTGATGTGAAGCTTGTGCTGGGGAAGGGTAGAAGGAACAGAAACTCTTAGCATAAACTTTCCTTGGACTGAAATTTCATCCTTTAAAAGAGAAATTTTGGACCAGCAAAATAGCATAGTGGGTAGGGTGCTTGCCACCAAGCCTGATCCCTTGAGTCCCATCCTAGAGACCCACATGGTGGAAAGACAGGACAGGCTCTGTTGATTTCCACATGTGTGCCATGTCTCGAGCATGCCTGCACACACACACACACACACAGACAATAACATGCCCTAAAATTTTAAGTTGCTGAATAGATGATAAAGGCAAAAGAATTTAAAGAATGTTCTATAAAGTGCTTTCCTTAGTAAGGAGATGGGAGTTGAATCAACTGTTTTCACTGGAAGTTTTTCTTTTCATTTATTTGTTTTAAGTAACATTTCCTTTTCCTATAAAGTACCACATGATAGAAAATCTGAGAAATCAAAAGAAAAAAAAAGTAGCCTAAGTCAAGTCCCCAGAGACAACCACCCTTGTCATCATGGTCCATGGGGAAGAAGAAAGTTTGAAAGGAAAACATGATAATTACTCATGATGACAGACACCCAACTTAATCTGTGATGTCAAGGTCAGTGGTCTGAGTCTGGTTTCAGGACTGTGTCGTTGCCTGGTGTCTTACAGGAAAAGAGAAATAGCGTTCATTGGATGTCTGCTCTATGTGTTCCCTTTGTATCTACTTCCTCACAGAATCCTCACCACAACCCGACAAAGGCATATGTCATCACCATTAAAAGGCAAGGTCAGAGAAGTCTCACAGCTAGGAAGTAGCAGTCACTTGCACAGCAGTAAGCCTCTGATTTGTGTCCTGTGTAGGGACTGCCACAGCATCCGTGGACTAGATGAGGTTATATGAATTCTTTGAAGAGGAGGAAATAGCAGAGGACTCAACATGAGTCTATGGATCTTCCTACCTTTTAGCCTTTGGGACAGAAGCCATGGAGAAGTCACAGTCATGGGAGTAGTCACATGTGAGATGTGATAAGTCCTTACAGGATGATTCCTTAGACCACAGGGCATTAAAAGCAGGCAGGACTTGGGACAAAGCTGGCATGGATGGTGGATGCATGCAATCAGTAAGCAAAGGTTTGGTTTCTCTTCAGTGGCTGGAGTTCGCTCATTTAAAAGAATCAATGAAATGAAGAACTGCAGGCCATAAGTTCAGCTCCTTGTTTTTAAGTTTCCTGACAAGTTTGGCAACAAGATGGCAGAGAAGGGCAGAAATGGTTAAGGAAAGCCTTCTGAAAAAGGGAGAGATTCTGATGCTGTTTTTTTTTTAGATCCAGATAACCCATCTAGTATAGGTAAATAACCCTCATAGATGGAAGTTTTTGAAATTGAGCCTATTTTTTTTGCAAGAACTAGAGAAACTTCTCTTATTTCTGACCTCCCCTGCCCAGAAAATCTCTCTATATTTCTATCTTTATTTTTTTAGACTTGTTAGTCTCTCTCCTCTCTCTCTCTCTCTCTCTCTCTCTCTCTCTCTCTCTCTCTCTCTCTCTCCAGGCTAGAGTGAGGTCTGAAGAGATTTCTCCAGCTACATAGCCTTTAGTGATCTAGACCCATCGCTATTGGCTCTCTGTGAAGGCTAGTTCCTGCCCTTAGAAAGAAGATGCAATCTGCTGAAAATTCATGGGGTCTGAGCAGTGGAGTGCCTAGGAGAGGAGGAAAGTCATGATTGATAGAAAGATTTCCCAATGGAGGTCCCATTGCTTGGCTAGGGCCAGGAAGCCTCTGCTGATAGTTCCCTGAGGTTAAAATGGGTATGGTATTCCCAGAAGCTGTTGGGGTTGTCGATGAGATGACTGGCCAGTTAGAAAAAGCAAAGGATTGGGTGTCTGTGGGGTAAAAGGAGGGTAGAGAACAGGTAGGCTTCTATAAAAGCGGAGAGGCGGTGGTAAGAGTGGTGATCAGTCATGGGCAAGAGACGTTATAAGTCTCTGGGGACATGGGGGGGGGAGTAGTGGTTTCAGAGCAGGGTGAAGTGTTGTCACTTCTGTCCCTAGTAGATGCCTTAAACATTGTGCCCTGGCTCTTCTCTCAAAGATTAGTGCTGCTTAGACTCCATATGTGTGTGTTTGTTTCTCCTAGAGGTAAAGCAAAAGAAGCAATTCTTTATGATAACAATGATAGTCTCTATCTACTGCCTTACCTTTTAGACATTCCATATGTTTTGCCTCATTTAATGTCAACACCTCTGTGAAAGACCTATTGTGTCTAGCACAGAGACTCTGAAAACTCCATACCACACAGCTAGGACAGTCTAGCTCTCAAAATCTTTATTTAAAGAAGCCTAACCCTGATGGCCCCATTTCTCATAATTTTCTTGAATCCTTACTAGTCAGCTCCAAGCTGACAGAAACCACCATACCCTCAGGTATATCATATCACTTCATACCACACCATATACCACAGGTCACTATGAGACATTGGGTAGGAATACAACTTCTGTGATCTCAACTTCCCTTTTTATTTCCCACATTTAAAGATATCTCAAGGCCAGGCCTGGTGACTCTTGCCTGTAATCTCAGTACTCAGAAGGTGAGGCGGGAAGATCTTTAAGTTTGATGCCAGCCTGAGCTATAGAGTGAGACCCTGTTTCAAAAAAACAGGGCCTATGCAGGTTCTCTAACTGTTGGTCCAGAGTCCATGAGTACCCATGAGCTTAGGTCAGCTGTTTCTATGGGTTCCTCCATCATGACTTGACAGACACTCCCTCCCCCCTTGTACTATATCTCCTCCCTTTCTTCAGGAAGACTCCCAGCCCAGGGCTTGTCTGTGGATCTCTACATCTGCTTCCATCAGTTACTGGTAACTGATGACAATTAGGGTGGTCACCAATCTGATTATAGTAGATGGCCAATTCAGTCACCACCTCCATTATAGCTGGGGTCATCCTTGTGGATTCCTGGGAGATTCCTTGGTGCCGGGTTTCTCCCTAACCATGAAAGCCTGCTTGGGACTGACCTAGGCCCTCTACATGTGTGTGACAGTTGTGTAGCTTGGTCTGTTTGTAAGGATCCTACCAGTGAGATCAGGACCTGTCCCTGGCACATAGAGGGCTTTGGGAATCTGTTCCCAATGCTAGATTACCTTGCCCAGCCTTTATGCAAGGGGAGGAGCTTAGTCCTACCTCAACTTGTTATGCCATGCTTTGTTCAAGCCCTTGGGAGGACTGCCTCTTTCTGAATGGAGACAGAGGGGGAGTGGATGAGGAGGGGAGCTAGAGGGGAGTCTGTGGAAGGGAACAGGAAGAGAAGAAGGAGGGGCAACTGTGGCTGATATGTAAAATAAATGAAAAAATAATAAAATTAATTTAAAAAACATTGGTGAAGGGGGAAAAAACAGACTAGGAGGGGAGAGAAGTGTTAGCTTACATAAAGTATTTGGTGAGCTGAGGTGGCCAGTACAGGGGCTGCTAAGCTCTCGCCCCTGTCTTCTTTGAGGCTGGAGAGCTGTGGGTTGGTATGAAGGTGTGGCAACTCTAGGAGCTGTTTCGAGTTTGCATTTGATTTCCTCCTGGCTGGGCTGCGACTCGCCAATAGGGCTGGAGCTCTGAACCCTTTTGGGGGCTCCGTGGCAACCACTTCCTGTTGTGTTTGAAGATGGCCTCTCAAGGTCCTCAGCAGATCTCCCATCCCGTGTAGCCAGGTACAGAATATCTGCCTTCTGCCCTGTTCTTCTGTGCTGGAGGGAGACCGAGGCAGAGCTGGCCTGTCTACAACTAACCCTGAAGTCGGTGAGGCTACCAGGGTGGAGTCCTGTCAGTTTGTAGCAGCACGCATCTGCTCCACGCTTGGATAGACAGAGCCTTAGGGAGTCGAGTGGTACTTAGCCACAATTACCTCAAAATGGAAACAGAAACAAATAAGTGTTTGTATTTTTAATTGCACTTGCTGAGGATTGTGGATTGTGTGCTTCAGACCAGCCACACCTAGGGGACCAAAGCGACATTTCATAGACCGTTGTGTTGCTTTTCTACACGGTCCCCCCAATAAGGGAATATTTCCCTTCCATTTGCCTGTCCCATCCCTAATTGGGGGAAACCCCAGCAGCTAGTAAAGAAGAATAGAACGGCTTGGCTACAACTCAGTCCAGCTTTATGGTACCCTGGCCTTCCTGCCACACGTTTTCTCTAACCCAGGGCTGGTGTACCAGCTGGAAATATGCTTTAGCATCACACCATTGTCTTGTTCTTTCTCTCAGAATAAATGGCCCTGAGCTTGCCCTGCAGGCTCAAGAGCCCTGATTCATAGCCTCCGGTAAGCCTCTACTATGTGGGACTTCTCTGTGTGGCCTGAAGTGTGATTGACAGCTTAGTATGTGTGTACTTGCCTATGCACTTTAGGTGACCTGGAGAGCAAATAACAGGAGGATATGTTTTGAGGCTAGGAGGTTGGGTTTTTAAAAGTAGTTCCTAGGGTGTGAGAGGTATAGTCTTTAATAAAGGAAATTCATTCCCAGTCCTTTGTTAAAGACCTGAGTCATATTTCCCTTAACTCCGTGTTTCCATGCAAGACAGGTAGGGATGGGTTCCAAGGCGAGAAGCTGGAAGCACAGACCAAGTGAGGCGGAGGCGTGGGACTCTGGCTGGCTAAGGGTCTGTGTTTCTCCTTCTTCCCCTGCAGCCCTGGCCCGCCACCGCTACATGAAGCAGGTTCAGGCCCTAGGTCCTCAGATGATGGAAAAACCCCTGTACTGGGGGGCGGACAGGAGCTCCCAAGTTTCATCTTATGCAATGAACCCGCTGCTGCAGCGAGGTAAACTGCCAGAAAGCCATGGGAGGAAAAGGGTAAAGGGTGAGGGCAGAAGTGTGGCTCGAGAACTGCATGGCCACTGGGGTGGGAGGGAGTGGAATCCTGCTAAGTAGCATGACACTTTAATGAGCTGGTTTGTAGGAGGATGTCTGGGTTCTGCAGTTCAGTGCGCACTGTCTGTCCTTGTTTCCATTCAGATCTGTCCTTACAGTCCAGCCTTCCACAGATGCCAATGACCCAGACGGCTGCTCACCCACCAGTGGCCAATGGTGTTCTGGAATATTTGGAGAAAGAATTGCGGAATCTCAACCCAGCCCAGGCTCCCGATGTCAGAACCAAGTCTGGCTACCCTTGCAGCATGCTATCCTCCCTGGGCTCTGCAGAGGTTGTGGAACGCAGAGTCATCCACCTGCCCCCGCTGATCAGAGACCCACTATCCTCCAGGACCAGCAACTCTTCACACCAGCAGCGGTTCAATCCTGTTTCTTCTAGACACTGGGATCTGAGTGAGGGCAGGAGGCAGCGCTATCACTCGGATTTCCTCCAAGAGCTCCAGGACCGGGGGCTCAGACCCTGGGCCCCAGGGAGAAGGGAACTGGACCCCCATTGGAGTGGGAGGCACCACCGCTCTAGGCCCAAGGAGTCCTCCATGCCCTGGTCAGACTGGGACAGCCTGAGCGAAGGCCCCTCGTCCAGTGAGGGCCCATGGCCCCCCAGACGCCCAGAGCCCCGGGAAGGTGCCCAAAGGCATGGGAGACGCAGGCACCGCAGCTACTCTCCTCCCTTGCCTTCGGGCCCCAGTTCTTGGAGCTCTGAAGAGGAGAAAGAGTCACTGCCCAGGAATTGGGGTGCCCAGCGCCGCCACCGCAGCAGTCGCCGCCGTCGTTCACAGTCCCCAAACTGGCCTGAGGAGAAGCCACCCAGCTACCGTTCACTGGATGTCACTCCAGGCAAGAACAACAGGAAAAAAGGGAGTGTGGAGAGGAGCTTGGTGAGCCTGGGGCATCCTGTGGAGGGTTGGGCATGGGCAGTGGCCCCTCCGCCGGCGGTCTCGGCCACAGCTGACACAGGCCCAGCAGAGTTCTAGTTCTGCATAATGGTCAGGGCAGACTGGGGCACTGTCTTTTCTTGGAAGGAAAGGGCTGAGACAGTGCAGGGTGCAGAAGAAACCCAGGGCTTGCAAAGTGTCCATTCAGCCATCCTCTGCACTGGAGGCAGGTCAGGGGGGCTCTGCTGGTATGCCGGTGAGGAACTGAGATTCAGAATGACTAAGCACCCCGTGATGGTGGTAGGGAGCTGGACCTCGAGTCCCAGCTGCTCCGTTGACCTTATTTCCACAGCCAGATTAGAAATGGGCAGGGCTGTGGGTGTTTAAGAGAGCAGCAACTGTGCTGTGTGGGTGAGGATGAGATCCTCCCGGATACCCCTGGGAAGGGTCACCAGACTGATGAAGACCATCCCTGGCATCCCACTTAGGAGTAAAACTTTAGGATGCCGTAAACACTGAAGGTACCAGTCACTGTTTAGCAGTCTAAGGAGTAAACCCAGGAGGACACACCATATCCAGGCCTCTGGCTTTTATTTTAAGAGGCATGATTTTAAAGCCAGGTGTAACAGTGTACACCTTAAGTCCCAGCCTGTAATCCCAGCACTCAGGAGGCTGAGACAGGAAAACTGCCGCAAGTTCAAGACCAACTAGATCTTCTGTATGAGACCCTGCCTCAGAAGCACCACAACATTAAGAAGTCATTTTACAATTAACCCATCCAAGTCCCAGCTGATACTTTATGAAAATATTCCACCATTGCTCAAATGTAAATGAATTACTTACTCGGAGGCAACTTAAAGGCTACCCATGAATAGCTCTGCTCAGACCAAAACCTTTTCTTCATTTCTTCTGCTGAGACAGGCAGATCTCGGGAAACTCTGAGGGGAAGTCCCAGAGGAAGGGCAAAATCTAAGAACAGCAGTCTCTTATGGACTTTGAAGGACATACCTATCATTAAACACACACACACACACACACACACACACACACACACACACACTTAAATCAAACACAAGTGTGTCAAGGCATAAGCCCCTCAGGGGAGATGCGGGGTGTTTCTCTAGGGTCATCTGAGGTGGAAGAGTGGGACAAGGAAGGCAGTGAAGCCCACCCAGTAGGTGTATCTGAAATCACAGTGTGACACAGTGGCAGCTGTGTCATCTCACCGGTGTCCCTTGGGCACTGAGATTTGCAGTAGTGAGAGTAACTACTACCAACCCGAGGCACTGAGCTGTGTACATTTTGCATGTGTTGTATATGCCACACAGCAGCCCTGAACTGTGAGGCCCGTTGAGTTAAAGGTTTGTGTGCCAGCAGCTCTCTGCCCTGGGCTCATCCCTCACACATCTCTCTGACTGTCTCAGCAGAAGCTCAAGGAGTGACCTCCCCCACACATGATATAGTTGCTTCTCTGTGATATGGTCAATAGAATGGATCCTGGAAGAAAGTACAGAACCAGTTAAAGTACAGAACCAGTTAAAATACAGAACCAGTTAAAGCTGGGATGTCTAGAACCACATGGTAATCTTTCACATACAGTGCCTAAATATGCCTCTTCCTTTTAGTAGAAAAATGTGATTTTCAAGTTTTGACTCCAAGGTCTGAGCCTTATTTTCTTCTAAGTTACTTTTTTTCCTTTCTTTATTTTCCTCCAGTTAAATTATGTAGCTCTTCCTAAGCCTTAGCATCCCAGGGAAGGGCACAGTACACTATGTTCTAGACACGAGAGCCTGTCCTGATTCATTTCTGAGCCCTCACAAGGCTCGGAACGGCAGGGTAACAAGGGCAAAGCACATAGCCTACAGAGAATGAAGCCTGAGTTTAAACATAGCCCTGGGTTCTCAAGCTTTTTTAATGACCCCCACTGGCTCCGCAGACAGAAGGTGATTACTGAGATTCACAACACTTCTAGCAACAGTGACTCTCAGCTTTCTCCAAGCACCAGTACATCTTTTTAAAAATCTTCAAGATGTGCATAAGAAGTAATTCTACCATGATTTTCACTTATAAAGTTATCTTTGAAATGCAAAGATTTTTGTTCAAATTAATTTTAAAATTCCCCATTGTTTGGGGTCTGAGATTGTTTTCTAGAAATATCACTTAACTGCATTCAACCTTCTATTTATATTCTGACAGTGACCAGAGGTCTAGGATCAAAGCTTGACTCTACAGAGTAGTTCCTTTAAAGGTTGCAGTTTGTTGTCATTGTAGTTTTATGGGGAAGGAGATTCTTGGTGCTGGTACTCCATGCTTCCTATGAAGGTTTTTGAGGGTGCTGGAGCTTGCTACTTTCAATATTGTGCACCATTAGGCCACTAGATGGTGACTTTTGATTGAGTATCACTCGAAGTTTCTCTATTTGTTGCATTAAAGTACATTATCACCATTATCGATGACAGGTTTAACATAACTTTAATAAAATGTCCATTAAAATACTTCATCAAACATTCAGAGAAACAGGAAATAAATGTTTGGGGTCTCATATGATACCATCTTTCTCCAGAGTAATGTTTAATAAATATACACAAGCAAGAGCTTCTGTTCACATAACATCCTGGCAATCTAAATGGGCAAGAAATACTGTCTGCTCAGCGCCCAGGGAAACACGAACCTTCTGCTGTGGGAACGCCCGATGAATGTGACTCCAGCCGAGCTCTCACTCACTGGTGGCCTTTTCACTCAGTCAAAATGATGCAGGAACTTCAAGTTTTCCACTCTAGTGGCTTCAGACTGAATGAGCCCTGTGTTCTTTGCCTCCTTCAGACTATCTTTCTTTCCAATCTTGCCCTAATAGAATGAGTTCCAAGATCCTCTGGCATCTTCAAAACTTGGCCCACATACATCTGTTTTAGTGAAGAGAAAGTCATAGTGTTTGTTTCTGGGCTAACCTGTAATGCTCTGTAGTGAATACCAGGAATTATATATTTTTTTTGCCTTAAATTCTTTATTAGAAAAAATATGTTTTATTGGGATCTGCAATCTTCTACTTTGAGTATCCCTGATCATGCCAAGGTCTTCCTGGACAAAGTCCTGTTGGCCCTTTTCAGTGCTGTCTTCTGTGCCAGAGAACATTCACTGCAGAGTATTGGATTGGAAACCTTGGCCCTTACAACCCACTCTCCCAATAATGAGAAACAGATTTTTGAAGCAATATGATGCTACATAGTATCTCTAGGACTGTTCATTATAGGACAGGTGTATTCCCTTTTCAAATGAGATGAAGACGGTCTCATTCCCGAACTCCAGTTGTAGATTTTCAAAAATGTAATGAAATGACTCCCTCTCCCCAGAATCCACAGAGAGGTTTGAGAAACATAAAACATAATTCTTGCCTTGTCAAGTGAGGAAAACAAAAACAAACAAAACAAAAAAACAAACCCACAAATAACAAGAGGTCTTTGAAGAAAAGCTATTGAGTTTGTTCAGGAAAAGTCTGAAAATTTACCTAAGAGGAATGCTAAAGTATGAAGCTGAATGAAAGGGTTGGGGAGGAATGGTTCAGAGTATAAACAGGGAGCAGAGCTGTCTTTGTGTTAAGTTGAGAAATAAGTTAGTAAGTGGAAAGCAGTCCTTTTCTTCTGTCTACCAAAGACTTGAAGATATTACAAAACAACAGTGAGGGGCAGAGTAAATAAGAGTAGACATTTTCTGAAATTGACATTGTTTTGAGGAAGGCTATTGAGAGGTAAAAGAATGGCTCTATGAAATGTCACGACATCAGCTACCACTTAGCAGGTTGGACCAGTTCACCTTGGGCATTACACGCATGGGCTGTAGATTGGGCTGACTGTAGTTTTTGTGTTCTTATTCCTCAGGAGAGAGAGAACTCCCATAGTGGACGGAGTGTGGTCATTTAGTCTCCAGGCACAATGCTGCTTCTTGGATCCCAGGCGTCCTCAGCATTACCAAGATTGCCAGCTGCCTTGAGAAGGACACTACACATCTGTGTCTCTCAGTTTGAGCATAGATTCTAAGACTCGAATAGAAGAGTTTTCAAAACATGAGCTTATGGAATCAATAGCAAGCTCTTCCCTTGTTCATGTCCTCTGTATATTACATGATCTCTGACTTATAAGGGCCCCTAGCTAGGATGTGATCCCTTGGGAACATAGTGGCCCAAATGTTCAAGTAGGTCATGGTGCTCTGGACCAAGGCACTCTCATAATAACAACTCAAGAATCTTTAAGAAGAAATCAAACATGTTTCAGGAACAGGAAACCTATGGAATATTATGGGTAAATACCCATGGAAACTTCCTGTCCTCTCTTGAACTTCTCGGGGGTTTTTCCATGTTAAGTGTCCCCACCTGAGGTCCTGAGCATTCCTGAGTTGCTGGTCCTAGTGCAGATAGATGTCCCGTAGCTCTGTACCTTTCACAGGCTGTTTATTGCAACTCTGGAAAATCACAGGGAAGCAGTTTTGCACCAACCATATTCTTGTTTCTTTTTTTTCTCCTTCTTGCTCCTTTCACCTACACTTAATTTATTTTCTTATATATAGCATTATAATAATGCTAAAATCACTTTAAATACTTCCAAACACCACACACAGTTATAAACAAGAAAAATAAATGTAATGGGATGAAGATTCCATCCCAAGTAAATATCTGCTTTTCTAATTTGGGTTTCTACTTTTCCTCATTGATTTAAGCCTCTCTCCCAGTAAATCTCAGAGAAGAACCAGGCCACTGTGAGTAGTTCTGAAACCACCATTCTCCTGGGACTATTGAACGTATCGGGGTTGTGAATTCCCAAGAATGTAGGCAGGTGTTGCTACTCCAAGTTCCAGGAGGAAAGAACTGAGCCCTTCTTGCTTCCCATTTTCCATATGGTTGTGTCACAGATATATTTATGACTGACATGTATGCTTTCTCTGAGTAGATTGGAAGGAGATGGCTCCAACAATATTGATGCTGTACAAAACCAGCAGTTCCCATCTGTATGGTTGTGAGCTCAATTTAGAGCCAATTGTATCAACCCATTCATTTTTCTCCAGTGTGTGTGTGTATGTAGTGCTAGCTAAATTCCTGTGTTTGGAAGAGGTTGCTTTCAGGATTTTTGAAATCTGAACTTAAATTAGGAAACAAAAATTTAATAGCTAATGGAGGCATGAAATTCAGTAAGTTGCACTATTCTGGTATGGAAGAGTTGACATAGATCCACTTTTGAGCTTATTTTCTGGTAAAGTATAATTTTGTAAATCAAAATTATGGAGAATAGATTCTCTCATATAATACATCCCAACCAGTTTCCCTGCCTCCCACTCCTTCAAGCTCCCTCCCAGTTCCCCTCTTCCCCAGATCTGCTCCTCCTCCATCTCCCAAAAGAAAAGAGCAGGCCTACAAGAGAAAACAACCAAACATGACCAGACAAAACACAGTAAAGTAAGGCAAGGCAAGATTCCTCATACTGAAGCTGAACCAGGCAACCTAACAGGAGGAAGAGTCCCAAGAGTAGACAAAGAAGTCAAAGACACATCTGCTCCCACCCACGTCAGGAGTTCCACAAAATCATCAAGCTAATAGCCACAACGTATATGCAGAGGACCTGATGCAGACCCATGCAAGCCCTGTGCTTGCTGCTTCAGTCTCTGAGCCTCTAGGAGGCCTGCTTAGCCGATTCAGTAGGTTGTATTCTTCTGGTGTAATGCCCTCTGACTCCTAGAATCCTTCAGTCCTCTCTTCTGCAGGATTCTCCAAGTTCCAAAGTGAGGGATCTGATGGAGATCTCAAATTTATGCTTTCTCTACATGGCCATCCAAAAATAGTGTAGGACATGGGCTCCCTCTCATAGGGGCCACAAGTAAAATCAGACTTTGGTGGGCCACTCCTACAAGTCCTTCACTACCGTTGTCCCAGTACATCTTACAGGCAGGACAGATTGTTGGTCAAAGGTTTTATGGCTGGGTTGGTGTCCATGTTTCTCTTTCCATAGCCTGCAAGTGCCTTCGGGTGCCAAAGAGATTAGAATGAGGGGGTGAAGGCTCCACACAGGTACCAGCTCAACCTCTCCAGGTTCAATGAGCTGAGTAGATGGTTGTACTTGGCAGTGGAAGCCTGCTGTCAGTTTTCAGAGAGCAACCCTCTGTCCTAGCATCAGCCTGGGTTGTTTGGGGATCTCCATGGGACACCCTTGGCCAACAAATCAACTGAATGCAACTAGTCCCACCACTGGAAGCCTTGCCTAGCTACAAGAGATGGCCAGTTGAGATTCTGTATCCCCATTACTAGGAGCCCTCACTAGGATCACCCGCATATATTTTAGGAAGTTCCACTACACTAGGGTTCCACGCCACCCCCCAAATGCCCCTCCAAGTCCAGCGGTCTCTCCCAGTATTCTCTTGCTCCCACCTGATTCTTCCTGATTCTGTTTCTATCCACCCCCAGTTCACCCATAAACTCTATTCTATTTCTCCTTCCCAGAGAGGTCCATGCATCCTCCTCTTCACCTAACCTCTCTGGGTCTATGGATTATATCTTGTTATCACTTACTTAACAGCTAATATTCACTTACAAGTGAAAAATACCATATTTGTCTTTCTGGGTTACCTCACTCAGGATGATTTTTTTTCTTGTTCCATACATTTGCCTCCAAATTTCCACCATTATCAAGTAGGCTTTATCCCAGAGATGCAGAGGTTGCTCAATATACAAAAATCAGTAAATGTAATCCGCCTGACAAACAATTCAAAGAAAAAAAACCACATGATTATCTTATTAGATACAGAAAAGGTCTTTGAAAATCCAACACTCCTTTGTGATAAATGTCCTGGAGAGAGTAAAGATTCAAGGGACATACTTAAACATAATAAAGACAATTTACAGCAGTCCTATAGCCAACATCAAATTAATCAGAGAGAAATGCAAAGCAATTCCACTAAAATCAGGAACAAGACAAGGTTGTCCACTCTCCACATCTACTCAATATAGTACTTGAAATTTTACCTAGAGCAATAAGACAACTAAAAGAGATCAGGCTAGAGCAGTAAGACAACTTAGGAGATCAAAGGGATACAGATTAGAAAGGAAGAAGGCAAAGTATTGTTATTTGCAGATGATATGACAGAATGCTTAAGTGACCTGAAAAATTCCACCAGCTCCTACAGCTGATAAACACTGTCAACAAAATGGTTGGATACAAGGCTGACTGGGACAAATCACTATCTCTCCTATATACAAAGAAATTAGGGAAACAATACCTTTCACAAAAGCTTCAAATAATATAAAATATCTTGGGGGTAACTCTAACCAAGCAAGTGAAAGTCTTGTAAAAAACTTAAAGTCTTTGAAGAAAGAAATTGAAGAAGATATCAGAAGATGGAAAGATCTCCCATGCTCATGCATCAATAGGATTAACATAATAAAAACGGTCATTCTACAAGAAGCAATCTACAGACTCAATGAAATCCCCATCAAAATTTCAACGCAATTCTTTACATAACTTGAAAGGACAAATCTCAACTTCATATAGAAAAACAAAAAACACAAGAGAACTAAAACAATCCTGAACAATAAAACAACTCCTGGAGGTATCACCATCCCTGATTTTCAAATTTCGGAAATCTAGAAATGCCATGAGACAACCTAAAATTTTGAAGGGTACTAGGATGGGGCAGGGATGGGGCACATCTGAGAACATAGGGCTGGAAGGCTATCACAGAATCAGGACATCTTCATTTCCCAGTCAACAAAAAGTAGCCACAGTCATTGATTCTTCATCCTAGGTCTGGTGGAGTTTCCCTGACAACCTTAAACAAGAGGGCTAATAGGGAGCCCCATAGAAGAAAAGCAACCAAGGGGAGGCCCTCTGCTCCTGCCCCCCTTTTCTGAGGAGAGACATTAGACAAGGTAAGTCAGAAAATCCTACGATAAGGTAAAGCTGGAAGCTCAAATCCAGAAAGCCTCATTGCCTCTTGACCTGCCCAGAGACACCAAGGTTGATTCGTAGAACCAGGAAAACTGACCTTCCAGCCTGGTCTTAGAGGCCATTTTGAGGAACCAAGATTGCCTTCCCATTCACTGACCCAGACAAACCTGGGCAGCAGGGGACACCATCAAGAGAATTCTCCCACATCTATCCCTCTTAAGAGATACGAAACTTGGGGCCAGAGAAAATCCTTCCAGTCCCCTGAGACAGCACCAGCAGAAGCCAGATGGAGACAAAGCAGCACAGATAAATTAAACTGACCCAAACAACTCTACTGGAGTTTTGAAATAGCTACTGGATATCAGGCAACAAGTGTGTGTGTGTGTGTGTGTGTGTGTGTGTGTGTGTGTGTGTGTAACAGAAGAGGGTGACTTGATAGAAGATGAACCAAAGTCTCAGATAAAATATCCAAAACATAAACTGACAGGCAAGAAAGGGACAAATTGAACAAAAAAGAAAACCAACTGATGTCAGCCTGAGGTGAACCAGATGTTGGAATGATCTGAAAAGAAATTTAAAACAATCACCATCAAAATACTACAGAAATCAATTACAAATTCTCTAGAAACAAATGGAAAAGTATAAAACACGCAGATTTTTTAAATTGGAAAAGGAAAATATAGGGGAGAGATGCCACTACAGTTAAGAGAATTTTTTACTCTAAGAGACTTGAGTTTGGTTCCTGGCACCCACATCAAGTGGCTCCTAATAGCCTGTAACTACAGCTCTCGGGGACCCAACACTTTCCTCAGGCTTCTGCAGGCACAGATATGCATGTGTAGAACACACACACACACACACACACACACACACACACACACACACACACTCACACTCACACACGCACACACACACAGACACACACATACACACACACATACACACAGACACACACACAGAGATAAACTTTAGTCTCTTATATATATATATAT